CTACTGTCACATGTGTACACTGTTCTTTTTTACTTACACTGTACGACTTCTGAAAGAGCACTCCGACGTCCCCTTGCAAAATTCCGCTTGCAAACATCACACTTATGTCGCCTGAGTAGGTGTTCAAGTGGACAGCGACAAATGAGTATTAAATAATCTGATAAAAATTAATGGATTTAGTGGCACAGCCAAAATTTTTTCTTATAACAAATTTAAGTATTTTATCTCTCTTTAAGCAATCTTTGAATGTTTATTCTTTTATTGAAAATCTCAGTGGGATTTGAAGCTCTTAAAAGAGAAGAAGGAACTACCTAGAGACAAAGACGATAATAGGTAAGGTGTCGTAAGCGCGATGGGCCGAGTGGATGAGCGCGTACGCGGGGGTGTATTTGGAAAGACCGCGCTTCTCATCACCGGTGTGCATCACGGTATGTGGCTGCGCTAATCGCGCGTTTTCGCCGTTGCGCAAGACGCGGGCTGCGGTTTCGGCGGCGACGTAGATCCGCCGGCCGCCGTGTGAGCGCGAGTGCGGTCGCCTGCGCGATTTTGCGGATAACCAGACATTAGGCGGCCAATCGATAGACCGGCGCATTGCGAGATAATTCGACGCGCGGGGCACCATAGTTCGGCCGGATTAGTCCGACATGCGAGCGGAATGACGTTTCAGTTACCCTAATTCGCAAGGAGTTCGCCCCGCAATTATTCGTTAATGCACCCTCTCGGTTATTGAAGTCCTCGAATTCGCGGGCGCACGCGCTCGCATTATTAATGCCACTCGAACACGGCTGATAACGGCCGTTTATTATCGGTTAATGGGAGGAAAGTGTATGATAGAACTCGCGCTCTCTCTCCGCCGGTGTCTCGCGGCAACGTCCAACGTCCTCGTCGCCGTCGTCCTCGTGGCCGCGCCGACTCAGAGGCCAGCAATGCGGTTCTCCGGCGTTGCACCCCGATTGCGATCGAAATCGAAAGAAATACCCTTCCACGCCGCTCCAGCTCCGGCTTGCACCGTGCACCTCGCGCGCACACGCGTGTACGCTTTGCACACGTGTGCGCAACGCGGCGGCCGGTGCGTCGTCTACCCGCGCGCGTGTATACGCGCGAGGACGCGCCGCGCTGCGCTGCGCTGCGCCACGGGAGTCGCCGGTTTCGCAAAGCAACGACAATGATCGCGACGTGGAAGGCAACCGGTTGCACGCCGTAAAAATACGACGACCGACGCGGAACACCGACGAGAGAGAGAGAGAGAGAGAGAGAGAGAGAGAGAGAGAGAGAGAG